GTTGCCCATTCTGTTGTGTCAACTACTTGACCCCTACTTCTCATTTTCCAGTCTGTTTTATTATGCAAGTGGCTTTTAGTGGTTAATGGGTTTACAGAGCAACCCTTCTTCCTGATTCTTCATGTTTTGCTGTGAGATGAGATAACAAGGACCTTCAGTAGAAAGGCAGAAAATGGAGGATTTCAGCTGGATAATGATGGAATAAGAACAAAACCAAAGTTGCTGGAAAAGCTCAGCAGGTCTGGCAGCACCTGTGAACAAAAAAATCAGAGTTAATGTTTCGGGTCCGGTGACCCTTCCTCAGATCGAAGGGTCACCAGACCCAAAACGTTAACTCTGATTTTTTTTCTTCACAGATGCTGCTAGACCTGCTGAGCTTTTCCAGCAACTTTGTTTTTGTTCCTGATTTACAGCATCTGCAGTTCTTTCAGTTTTTAATGATGGAATAGGGATTGTTCAATGTTTATCGTCATCTGGAAGGAAAAGCCTTTGAGATGGAGACATGAGGAAAAAGAGCATTATGAAGGAATGTGGAGGAAGAGGAGCAGTTGAACTTCCATAGGGGAAGTGACAGAATACTAAATTCTGAGAGAGGCAAAGGCAATGAATACTTTGGTGGGTTGGAGTTAGTGCAAACAGTAGCAGGTTTGACCATATATGACAAAATAGCCAGCTCTTTTTTAGGAGCGACTGACAATTTTTGACATATACAAATTAAATGCATTGTTAGAGAAGATAGTAATCTGTGATAGAAGTTACTGAATGTCACTAGATGAGTTGTAGATATTTTCACTTCCAACTAAATTTGAAAATAAGGTGCATCACAAGATAAACAACAAATGTTAATCTATCCATAATGTATAAATATGCTTTTCCGTATATAATGAAATAAATTGTTTCCTGTTTGCTTGTTGGAAAAATCCTCCTCAGTGTTTGGTCCAAATTTTGGAACGATACCTTGGACCATGTGGTATGGGAGATGAAATCTAACCTACCACATGGGGATGGGCTTGAATCTCTTCACAGAGGATCTACTACCCTGTCCACATTATGTCTTCAAAGGAACTGCAACCCAGTCATGCATTAACCAACCTAAATGATACAATCCATAAAAAGAACAATGAATTTATTCAATAAATGTCATAAATCTGTCTTTCTTTCATGTCATCATGATAGTGCAGCATTGTCTCTTTCTAGTCCTACCACTATCCAACATATCTTTAACTGTTTTACCCAGTTACTAATATGGCTCATTAATACCTTATCCATATTCAGTCCAGAATAAAAAGATCCATCAAACAGGTTTCTTATGAGAAAAAGAACAGAATTATTGATTTATTGCAATAAGACTCCTTCAACAAAGGTGCAAAACCGATTAACATAGGGTTTAAAATATAAGAGTATAAATAATTACTGTTGCAATAAACCTAGTGTGTGGACAAACACAAGTTATGGAAACAATAAGGAACTTTCCTCAGCAGTTTTTACATATTGGAAAATAAAACACTTTTTTAAAAAAAGTTGTTACTCCTTGGAGAATAAAAGGACATGATGTGACATGTTCTAAATTGTACAAAAGTATCAGACTGAAAACATGGAGATGGGTCGGTAGATACATGCAGTTCCCCACCTGAGATGTCTTGGATGCAGTTTGTTGAGCAGTCTGTTTCAAGTAGAATAGCTGTTTTCACTTATTAGCTCTCGTACATGATACTCAAGGATTTCTCAGAAAGTGGCAAAGCCTGAGTTGGGTTGAGCCTCATTTTCTTGCAGGCTATAACCCAACAATTTCAAATAACTACACTCCTGATTGCCCTAAACCCAGACATGTGATCTGTCCAAGTCATGAGCTGAAGTCATGTGATTTCCAGTAAATTTGAGTAGTTAACTTATGTGACTTCTAGAAATGTCTTAGAGAAAAAGGGTACCTTCAGATATTTGTTTCTTTAAAAAAGAGGCCAGATATCTCCTCAAAGCCTCAAATAAACTAACTTTTACAATCCTTCAGATACGTGCCCTCAAAAATAGGGAGAGCCTTCGTAACAATATTTAATCCTTTAAAAAAAATGTTTCATGTAAGACATGTTCTTGAACACTTCATGTTATTCCTTGGTAAGATAATGTCACAGGTTGGATTCAGAGCCAGGGAAGATGAAGAGGCTACGGCAAAAAAGTTGACAGAAAATGCCAGGTAGCAATTAGAGAAGTGCAAGATGAAGAGGCTGGAGTAAAGAGGCAAGAAATTTACAAAGTGACAGAACACAAGAAGGACCAGAGCTGCAAGAGACCAAATGTTTTTAAGGAAGCTTTCATCTATAACCCTCATAATTACACTTCAGACTATGGGGGTGATTATTGGTGGGCGATTAAAATATTATGGTGCAAAGAAGGTCACTCCTCCGCCTCTGACACTCAGCCTATTCTGACACACAGAAAACAGCCCCAGCCTATTCAGCCTCTCCTTATAGCCAACCCTCAAATCATGGCAACATTCTTGTAAATCTTTTCCGAACTCTTTCAATTTTCACAACATCTTTCTTCAGCAGGGAGACCAGATCTGAATGCAGTGTTCTGATAGTGGCCTAACCAATGCCCTGTACAGCCATAACATGACATCCCAACTCCTTTTCTCAATGCACTGACCAATAAAGGCAAGCATACCAAGCACCACCTTCGCTAACCTGTCTACCTCTGACTCTACTTTCAAGGAACTATGAATCTGCACCCCAAGGTTTCTTTGTTCAGCAACACTCCCCAGGACCTTACCAGTAAATATATAAGTCCTGCCCTGAATTGCCGTACCAAAATGCAGCACCTCACATTTATCCAAATTAAACTCCATCTGCCACTCCTTGTCCTAATGGCCCATCTGATCAATATCCCATTGTACTCTGAGCCTTCTTCACTGTTCATTACACCACCAACCACATCTCCTACATTCACATCCAAATCATTTCTGTAAATGATGAAAAACAATGGAGCCAGCACCGATCCTGCACCACACCACTGGTCGCCGGCCTTCAGCCCAAAAATAAACCCTCCACCATTACCCTCTGTCTCCTACCTTCGCACCAATTATATATCCAAATTGCTAGCTCTTTATGTATTCCATATGATCTAATGTTGCTAACCAGTCTATCATGTAGAACCTTGTTGAAAGCCTTACTGAAGTCCTAGTAGACAACATCCATCGCTCTGCTTTCATCTTTTCTTCATCAAGAAACTCACTCAAGTTAGTGAGATGTAACTTCCCGTGCACAAAGCAATATTGATGATCCCTAATGCCTTTGAAATACATTTAAATCCTGTCCCTCAGAATCCCCTCCAACAACTTACCCACCACTGAGGTCAGGCTCCCCTGTCTATCATTCCCTGGCTTTTCCTTACCACCTTTTCAAAATAATGTCACCACATTAGCCAACCTCCACTCTTCTGGCACCTTTCCCATGGCTGTTGATGATACAAATATCTCAGCGAGGGGCCCAGCAATTGTTTCCTTCACTCCCCACAAAGTTCTATAATCTGTAATATGGATGCTTTTCAAGATATCACTATTTATCTTGTCTCCATATCCTTCTCCACAGTGAACACTGATGTGAAATACTCAACCTTTTTATGGTTCCACACATTGGCAGCCTTGCTGACCTTTGAGGGATCCTATTCTCTCACTATTTACTCTTTTGTCCTTAATGTATTTGTAGAATCTCTTCTGGATTCTCCTTAACCCTACTTGCCAAAGTTACCTCATGTCCTCTTTTTGCCCTCCTGATTTCCGTCTTGAGTAAATTTGTGCTGTTCTGATACTGTTCTAGGGATTCACTTACTCAGTCCCAGCTGTCTATACCTGACATATGCTTGCTTCCTTTTTCTTGACCAGAGCCTCAATTTCTTTAGTCATCCAGCATTCCCTACACCTACCAGCCTTGTCCTTCACACTAACAGGAACATACTGTCTCTGGCTTCTTGTCTCATTTTTGAAAGCTTCCCACTTTCCAGCTGTCCCCTTTACCTGTGAATGTCTGCTCCCAGTGCAGTTTTGAAAATACTTCAGGAGAAACATCAGAAGATATACCAGCTAAAATAGATCACCAAGAAATCTGTCTATTTTGGGACAAGAAAGAAGAACTTCAAATGTGAACTATCGTGCAATATTTACTGTTTCAACAAACACTGAAAATACAGTCAGTGATACTGAAATGTGGGGAATGATTAATTTTACACTGGTAAAACTTTGAGAGTATTAACAAACATCGAAGAAATTGTTATAGATGAAAACTTTTGGTCCTGAGGATATTAAGCCACAGAAGTAGAGAATGTTTAATACAAATAATTTGGTGAAAATTATAAATCTTTAAAACAAAATTTAAACCAAATAAAGTAAAACAAAGCAAATTGAAATAAGGTTATTGTGAAAAGTCATGTTTTTTGTCAAATAATAATATTTTTGAACATAATTTTTGTCCAAATTATTTTTTGTGTTTGTTACAGGCAGGATTAAAGTTCTTCATTACCTTCTTAAACATTATAATTATAATTAAGTGAATTGTTGAAAGAAATCTGTTGGGTATAAGAAAATCCTGATGAGTTGAATCGTTGGGGAATCCACCCACAAATTTGTAGTTGATCTCATGTCCTCCTTGGTTGAATAGCTCATTGACAGGCTCGTACATGAAGGTTTCTGTCTGACGTACGACTCATGAAATCTTACCCCGTGTCTAATCCAACACCTTTAGGACAGGAGGGAAGAATGATTGTGGGGTCAAAGATGTGACTGTGTGAGGTCCTGGAAGCACTAATCAGGAACAAATGTATTAACCTTCATGTGCTTTCTCTTTCTCTTAGGTTTTTTTGGCTAATTCCTTAGCACCTTTTTTAAATAATGTCACCACATTAGCCAACCTCCACTCTTCTGGCACCTTACCCATGGCTGTTGGTGGTACAATTTTGGCTAATTGCAGCTTTATTCACTTAGCTAAATTTATATTGTTTTTGTTTTTAAGCTGCGTTTTGGGGAGACATTGCCTTAGATGAAGAAGACTTACAACTGTTTCAGATTGACCGAACAATTGATTTATCAAGACACATGTTAGACAGAATTGGACACACAACAGGTAAATCTATTTTGTATGTGTGTTGCCAGTATATTTTTCAAAAGAAACTTTAAATGAAAAAAGTGACTAAATTTCTGTTTTCTGAGTTCAAACTGTTAAAAGTGCACCTCACTGAAAGCCAGCTCATATCAGGAGAGATTATAGTAATGTTATTTTATGTAATTTATATCTCTTCACCATATAGAAATTACTAAAAAAAAAAAAAAAGTTTTTACAAATGCTCTTTTAAAATAATGTGCCTGGAAATTACTTAATTTTATGTTTAGTTCTTATGTGTGCAGTAAAGAACAGAAGAATGCATGTGTTACTGCCTTAGCTATTTATCAGGAAGCCCTCACATTCAATATCTGTATTCTGCTGAGTTGGCTGATCTCAGCTGAGGTAGAAATAGAGACATAAGTGATGTCAGCACCTCTGGCTGCAGTGACCTGGTGATCTACTGGTGGAAGGCTTGTATAGACATAAGTGGAGGACAAGACTGGGTCAGGCTGACAGATCTCCAAAAGTCAAATTGTTTGCTGATATTTGGGGTAGTGGAGAAGTGGGGATGGCAGGCAATTTTAACCACGAAAAGCAGGTGAGATTTATCTTGTTTTTTAAAAAAAAAAGCCAAATGCCAACTCAGTTGCAACTTGACCATGTTTGTACCGAAGACAGACATGCCACAGACCTGGCAACCGAAGTGCTCACAGGAAACAGTCTTACTGATATCACACAAACATACTTGGAGCCTCACCTTGGGCTTAAATAAAATGCCAAGGTTACTCACTGTCTGGCAGTAACCGGGATGGAGTTAGTTGCTAAGGAATTGAGTTTGTGGTAATAACCAACAAAGTAGATTCTCTCTTCTCTCTTACCAATATTAAGTTAATAATCCAGGGGCCGTAATCCAGCATAATGCTCTGTGGACACTGGTTCAAATTGCACCACAGCAACTGGTGGAATTCAAATTCAATTCATAAAAAGCTAGTCTCAATAATGATGACCTTGAAATTGCCTTTGATTGTTATAAAATCCCATCTGATTTGCTAATGTCTTTTAGGGAAAGAAATTTGTAATCTTTACCTGATCTGATGTGTCTGTGACTATGGAACAACATGATAGTGGTTGTCTCAACTGGTTTCTAAAACTGCTTTACAAGCCACTAAGTTCAAGAACAGTAAGAGATGGGCAAGAAATGTTAGCTTTTTCAGCAACGCCCACATTCCATGAAAGAATAAAACACATGTTAAAGGAAATTTCTGCCTCTCCAATACTGGCTGTTGGTGGAAGAAAGCCTGATAAGTTAGAGACACTGGAAAAGTGTACATGTGGAAACTGCTGCTATGTTTTCAGACGATACTGCAGAGGAACAGCATGAAGATGAGAATTATGCAGGGCCCAAGCCAAAATTATCGGGCTCCTCCTGAATTATAGGAACAGGAAAAGAAGCAATTATAGTTGATTCTCTGGATGTGACTGGGTAGATAAGAATGAAGTCTGGTGAGTACAAGCTGACAATGTTGGATTGATGTTGAAGTCGTTGATGTTGCAGCAAAGTCAAGAATGATTGGGGGAGGGAGTTTGTCTTTGTCATGGTCAGATCGGATATAATTAAGACTTGTAATTGTAATTTGATAAGAGTTCTTTCAGTACTACGGTAAGGAGTAAGCCTGATTAAAGGGATTCAAACTTAAGATCGATTTTACTGTATGCATGGTACCACACCCACCAACTGGAGAGCTGGCAAGAATCCTATGGTAACAGTGTGGAGCTGGAGGAACACAGCAGGCCAGGCAGCTTCAGAGGAGCAGGAAAGCTGACATTTTGGTTCGGGACCCTTTTTCAGAAACGTCAGCTTTCCTGCTCCTCTGCTGCTTGTCCTGCTGTGTTCCTCCAGCTCCACACTGTTATCTCAGACTCCAGCATCAGCAGTTCTTACTATCTCCGAGTGGGTTATAATCATCCTATGGTGCCTACTTGCAGGTAGATTTAGGTAACCACCCCATCCAGCCAGTCAGAAACCAGTGCCTATTCATTACTTGGAAGTGCTGTTAGGGAGACGATGGTTGCTGTTTGTATTGTACCTACTGTGCCCTAGGCCACAGGTGCATGCTGATGGGTGAAGGTGGCTCAGCTTCAAAGACAAATGAAGCCACCCCCCCCCCCCCCCCCAAAATCTCAATGTTGGGTCACTCATTCAGGCAGTGAATGCCTTTTGAAGGAAGTGCCAGGATTATTGGACTTTCAGGTTTCGTGGCAAAACTTCTCCCTCTTCCCTGTCTATTAAATCCTTGATGTCAATAAATGAGGACGTTGGACTAGTAACAGTGTTATTTTGTGTTAAACTGAATCTAATCAGGAAATCATGTATTTTGGAGAGGGAGGGAAGGAAATTAACAAAACACGTGGAAGGAAATAAAAGGATCTATTGGCTGAACAAACATCACTAAAGGTGAATGCAAACTTTGAATTTCACTCACATTATTGCTTGGGTTCTAACACTGCTCCTGTATAGTGTATAATCTAGTGAGCTATGCTTTGTTAGAAAGTTAGTAATTTTTCATCTTTTATGTGCAGCAATCTTGAGAGGAAATGAACTGATTGACTTTGAGATGGGTTCAGTATTAGGTAGAGGATCCACTCTGTCACGTCACCACTCATGGAGTGCTACACATATATGAATTTACTCCATTCAACTTTTCCATGCAGGATAAGCCCCAATTCCAAGACAAAGTTTTAGCAATACACTGCAATCAGCGTGTCTGATTCATGGCATTTCTAATTTTATGCCGATTTCAGTATACAAGTCCTGTTGGGTTCTTGACGAACTAAGGGTATGTGTCCTGTTCAAAATTCACTCTGGCACTGACATCGTCAGAGCTTCATTTTGTTCCTGGTTTTGGGATTTGCCTTTGAAAACGGGCTGCAATCTTTGTCTCCATAACAACAGCAAAGCACTTTAATGAACTCATTATATGTGTAGCTCTTTTACAGATCATTGAGAGTTATGACAGTGAATTACATAAATGCAAGTCTTCACTTTCTAAACGATGAACATATTTATACAAGTAGCTGCTTTTTTTTCAGGTGACAGTAACTATAAACAGATCATGCGTGTACCTTCATCAGAATGTATATTTTTCCTGGATTCTTGTACAGCTGTCTGACAGTGACCTATTGAATTGCCTGCAATTTATTTATATCTTTCCGTACTTGGGTGTGTGTGCAATCTTGTTTGTGGTTTCTTAAAAAAGGTAAAATAATACTCTTTCATATTGAAAGATTTAATACATTTTACTTAATAGAGTAGTTTTGAAATATGTCTGGCATCTTATGTGTACAAACATGGCAATGGCTTTGTGCAAAATAATGATGCACAAGATGAATTGGGAACAATAATTATCTGGTTTGTTTTAGGTGATATTGGCTAAGGGAGGAATATTGGCTAGGAGTTAAAATAGAACCTTGAGATATTAACATCCATTTGACACGCAGAAACCATCTCTTTTTAATATCTAAACCAAAGGATAGTGCATATATTGTACTGGAGATGTAACCTAATGTAAGCTTGAATTCATGTTCTGTTGAACCAGAAGCAAGAGTATTATCAGCTGTGTTGCACTAACGTAATGACCATTTTACTTCATGATTAATCCTTTAATTATTATGTTTTAAAAACTATTTAAGTTGCTGCTCTTGAGTCAGTTGCATGTGTTTGTATATGATTATTTTCTGCTTGTATATTTAAAGGTGGGTCCGGAGAGCATAAAGTTTCCAAAAGGAAAGGAACAATTTATCAACTTATAGATCGGATCCTAAGATTGGGGTTAGGTAGGAAACCTTCAAATAACTTATTTTTGTTATCCACAATAAATGTTGCTAATAAAATGTTTCCACTTTTTAAATATTAATTATTTGTCAAACTTGAAATAGTACAAAACCTATTTTGTATATTCCCATTTTAAAACGGAACGATATAAAGACAATTTCAAAAGATATGTAGAATCATGAGTCATTTATTTACTTGAAATATACTTTGAATAGAAATCGTCTGATATCTCAGCAGGCAAATTCAATATTGAGCTGTATAAATCAGGAAGTTACAACATACACATGCAGAAGTAGCTGGAAAAGCTCAGCAGGTCTGGCAGCATCTGTCAAGAAAAAAATCTTCTGAAAATATTCTGAGGAAGGGTCATCGGACCCGAAATGTTAACTCTGATTTTTATTTTCACAGATGCTGCCAGACTTGCTGAGCTTTTCTGGCAACTTTTGTTTTTGTTCCTGACTTGGAACATCTGCAGTTCCTTCAGTTTTTATTAAGTTACAACATTCCACCTTTAATGTAATGTGCTTCATCATTCACTGACTGATGACCCCTGCTAAAAGTGCGTCTGTGTATGTGTTCACAACTGTTTGTGGACAGCTGAGTCCGAAGGTCCATGTCCCAGCGCAGTCCTTGATGGTCAAGAAAGGTATGTTCATAATATCACTGAACAGATTAATCATCTACCTTTATATCCTTCCAACACATGGCAGTGGCAGGCTGTCTGTGAGGATTCTGGTGAGCCATGTGATGGAGCAAATGTTAGAGCCTCTACCATCACCAGCTGGAGCTTCAGACTACAACACGCATGTTAAATTGAATGTTGCCACTCAAACTCAAGTGATCCATAGCACTCCACCACTGTGGGGTAGGTAAAAAAAGGACTTGGGACTGAATTTCAGAGTGGGAGAAAGATTGTTTTGATGGTGGACTAAACTGGCTGAGATTGGGACTTCTGCCACTATGTAGTGGGCACTCACCTACCATCCCACCAGCATCCACATCCAGAAGATCATCAGACGCCATTTCCGCCACCTCCAGCAAGATGCCAACACCAGACACGTATATTCCCCTCCCCTCCCTTGTCCGCCTTCCGCAGGGACCGTTCCCTCCGGGACACACTGGTCCATACTTCATTCACCCCCAACACCTCCCCGCAGCCCTATGGCTCCTTCCCCTGTAACTGGCGAAGGTGCAACACCTGCGCGTTTACCTCCTTCCTCCCCAGTATCCAAGGGCCCAAACATACCTTCCAGGTGAAGCAACACTTCACCTGCATTTCCAAGAATCTAGTCTACTGCATTCGCTGCTCACTATGTGGTCTCCTGTACGTTGGGGAAACGAAGCGTAGACTTGGTGACTGCTTCGCAGAACATCTACGTTCTGCTGGCAAAAAAGACCCTGAACTACCTGATGCCTGCCACTTCAATGCACCACCTTGCTCCCTGGCCAACATCTCTGTCTCCGGCTTGCTACAGTGTTCCAGTGAAGCCCAGCGCAAGCTGGAGGAGCAACACCTCATTTTCCGCTTGGGGACCCTGCAGCCCTCCGGACTCAATATTGAGTTCAATAATTTTAGGGCCTAAACTCTCCCATGTCCCAGCCCCCCACCCCACACACCAGGCCTTGTTACCACATAGCCTGCCACTACACACCCCCTGTTGTTAGTCACTAACAGTCCCCATTAACAACTATTCACCCTCCCAGCCAGATCGTTAGCAACTCCTTTGTCTGTCCAACTGTCTTTCTCTCTTTTTGGGCTCTATCCTATCGTTTACTCCCTATCCCACGCACCTCCCTATTTTCTGCATATAAACTGACGTTTTCCTAGCCACCATCAGTTCTGAGGAAGGGTCACCGGACCCAAAACGTTAACTCTGTTTTCTCCTCCACAGATGCTGCCAGACCTGCTGAGCTTTTCCAGTAACTTTGTTTTTCTTCCTGATTTACAGCATCCACAGTTCTTTTGGTTTTTTATGTAGTGGGCACTGCCAGGTACATACACAACTTTGCTGGATCCTGGAGCCAAGCAAGACCCAAGCATTTAGGGTGGGAGGGTTGGGCAGCTGTGGTTTGGGAGCAGTGGTGTGAACCTGAAGGTGTGCAAGGCGTGTGTCTTGATGCCAGGTGGAAAGGAATAAAGGGCACTTGCAATGTAGGTGATGCACCCAGAGCACCCCCGAATGCTCTTCCTCTTCTGAATCTTTCCTGAAAAAACAATGCTGCCAACATCCTGACCAAACTAACTGTATTCTTGTATGGGCAATGTGAAGAATGGGTCAATTAGTTTTGTAACAAGCTCAATTGACTGTTAATTATTTTTAGAAAATGGCAGATTGAGCTGTCCTTTTCAGTACTGGCCTACCTAGTCTATTATGGGGGTGGGGATGGGTTGGTCGAGAAGAAAGGAGGGAGAGCTTGCCATCCTTTTAAGTGTCGTGACAACTGAAAAGACACGTGAATGGGGGCTGTAAAACTATTGCCCTTTGGAATGAAGTGCTTCAGAATAATGTGTTTGATATTTGCTGTAGCAGCTCACAAATTTAAAAATGGCTACTTGAGTGACGTACAAATGAAAGCATACTTGAATTTATATAGTACCTTTTCACAAGTTCAAAATCTCCCAAAGTGTTTTACAACCAAGTTTGATAAATAGACCAATGTGTCACTATTGTCAGGACAGAAAGGTTAACTATATGACACGTCTTTGGAAACAACATGAGGAGGCAATTTTTTAGAAGGATAATTTGAAACTAATTGTTATTGTGTATTTGATGATGCGTGATTTAATCAAAGGTGACATGTTGATAATGATACAGTCTCACTCAAAATAATCATATGTAGAGAATTTTTTATGTTGAATGTAAGTAATTGCAGGCAGTGATCAAAATACCACCAACCGAGAAAAGAACAACTCAGAAACCTTAAAACGGATCGAGAAGAATAGAGTTCCCAGAGCTGCAACATCACGAGCTGAGAGAATATGGCCCGGGGGTGTCATTCCATATGTCATTGGAGGCAATTTTACTGGTGGGTGTTGCTGATGTTTACTTGTAATTTACTAAAATCATCTTTTTAAATTCATTTGTGACTTTACACATTCTTATATTGTTTGGAATCATCAATATTCATTAATTGCTACATTTAACTTGGCATTGATGATGAGATTTTGCTCAAATTTGTAATGCTGTGCCCACTTCCTGTAATGGGAAAGAAGAAAATCAATTGAATCTAAATGACAATTTCTGCAGTATCTACTTTTTACAATGAATCTACATAATTTTAATACATTTAGATTTTTAAAAATAACATCAATGTAATTGCATTCTGAAAGGCACAACAGTCCATTGTGCTTATTGTAATTCATTCATCAAAAAAAATTGTTGGCTCCTAAGCAAGATACATGCAAAGCCTTTATTTCTGTTATGGTGCCTTAGATCAGTAGGACCCAGGTGAGTCATCACTCTACACATGCTGTGGTTTCAGCCTTTCCATAAGGAGACCAGATGGTTCCTCTCATAGTAAGCAGAGAAAAATCAGACATTTGTTATTGTGGGCTGCACTTTGTTCTTCTACTGACTGGATTTGATTTTTGGGGGCCTGGGAGCAGGTTGTTTCTTGTTTGTTCCAGTTAAACCAAATGCAAGGGGAAGGAAGATGAATTTGCAAAGAAACAGAAAGAAGATGACTTTGCACAGGAAGAGTTGGTCAGTGACTCAATGTGTAGATGTACTACATGATGTGTCATTGAGGTATGTGTAACAGGAACAATCCAGAGACAGCCACGCATTAGTTAGTTGAGAAGAATAGAAAAGCAACAGCATCAGCATCATTAGGATGGGATGGGAAAAGAAACAACTGTTTTGTTTACCCCATTCGTATTCAGTATGATCATTGCTTGACAGTGTAAATGATGGATTTCAAATTATAGCACAGACCTTGATCGTGCTATTACATACAGGGGTACTGAAAAGTCCAATTCATAACTTTATTGCCTGTTTAAATAAAACAGGATTGCTATTCCTAATAATTTCTTTGACTGGAGAGGATAGCTCCATGAAACCTATGGCGTAAATATGACAGAAGTACTTTTAAATTTTTGGACTTTTACTTTGCTTTTGCCAAAATAGTTCCAGCAATAGTTGTACTTCACCCGCTAGTTGGTTAATATTATATTTTGACATTTCCATTATTATTGCAGATTATTGTGAAGTGCAAGAATAAAACAGAATTTTATAGTTTGATCCACAAGTGCTTATGTCTAACTTCACATCACTTTCACTTATAATTTTTACTTTACTTTGGTTCACACTTTTGTTTATATAGTTATTATAATATCATTATTTTTACTAGACTTACTTTAGTCTAATTCAAGAACGTATTCTGTGAATATTAAAGTAGTCAATAAATCCTTCAATCTCTTAGCTTTAATTGATTCTTTTGCATTCTGTTTCTTCAGTTTGTCCTGTATTTCATTGTCTCCTCATTCTTGTTGATTGGTCTTAATTGTTCAGTTTATTTTTGTTTAATATCAACTTAATCTCTGGATCCACTGCAGTTGACTCTGACTTAATGATTAAAAGTTTTTGGTACTGACACCTTGGCCTGATTGATATTTTTGAGATTGGAGCAGTTAAAAGTGGAGGTTTTGCAGATGGGAAACCTGGAAGTACAAATTTCCTGCAACACTCCTGAATTTAATGCCAGAAGATGACTTTGATTTTTGTAATGGGTTGCTGCCTGACAGTCACGTTGTCAAGTTGCAAATTAACAAGGGAGTGAATTAGAGTTAAGTATGACATTGCAGCAGAGGGTTAGGTCTCTGAAGGTCAGAAGATGATAGGGTTTGGGGGCACTGATGGGATGGAAAGAATTTGACATCATAAGGGGGTGGGGGGGGGGGGGGGGGATTGTGGGTGGAATTTTTGGAGAGGTGAGAGGGTCAGATGTCCCAGTGGTTGGAATGAGTTGGACAGTGAAGGTTTTGAGAATCATGGCACTTGGGTTGGAACTGGACAGTGAGCAGTGGAGGGAGATGGACTTTGGGATGGGGGCTGTTTGCTAATTTAATGGGCATGAGGATGCTGATTGATCACTGAACCCAACTGGGATGTGGTGGGTAATTGGGAAAACTTGGTGTGCTGATGCGAACACTCTGCTCTTCCTGACACACAAGCACTGCTCTAATGGTAATCATCAGATAGAACCAGCACTCACATCTCCTTTCAGTTACTGGTTGAAAGATGTTAAAATAATATAATTTCAAAATATCCAACCTCGTGCAGTCTACTTAAAATATTGCATGACCAACCAATCTCACTAACTGCCGAATCCCCTGATGAGGTTCTATTAAAATTAGAAGTGCATGAATAGTTGTGTTGTCCATTTGTACGTGCTCCTTCTGAGGAGCAGGTAGAACTTGAGTTTTTTGATACTGCCAGTTTTAAAAAAAACTATCTAGCATGTATTGATTATTGATATGTTATGAATGCTCATAATGCGGAATGAAAGAATTCATTCCCATTGTGCATCCTCTTATGCCTTGACTCAATATTAAAAAGGGTCTTTCATGTTTAAACTCCGAAATTTGTCAAGTTAAATTGTGGTTTCACTTTTTTTGTTCTGATAAATTAATGTTCATTCATTTTTATTGCATAATTGTGTTTCATGGTATTCACAGAAGGATACATTGGTAAATTAAGCTATTGGAGATCATGATAATGCCAAGAGCAATTTTATAAGAATGATATGGGGCTTTCAGGACATAAGAATAACTCTCATTTATAAAGCATCTTTCATGTCCTCTGGGCATACCAAAACATGTTACAGCTAATGAAGTACTTTTGAAGTATATTACTGGTGAAATGTATATTAAAATAAAACTTACTCCTCAATGGTCCTGTCACATGGTCAAAACCACCCTAATCTCTGGAAAATTTAACTATAATCCCTGAACTCCATTTGTATTAGTCTGGTAAAAATCTAGTTTACTGTTACCATCAGTCTACTAAGTATCCAACAGTGGCACCACAACCAGATTCCTGGTTTTTCTAAAGCTGCTTTTTGTCTACATGTTCTTTGAAACTAAGTTCTTTCAAGAAAGCTTTTTACTTGAAAAGTGGGCAATGTCTGTACACCAATGTTATATTGTTGGAACTTCAACTTTAAAAGGAATTCTGCAAATTCAGCTAATTGCATCCTGCTGAATCTGAGCATCTATGAAAAAGAACCTTAACTGGACACTGACATTTTGAACAAAGAAAAAGTCATGTGAATTAATATCCATACCTTTGATTTTCTCTTTGGAAAGTTTACTCCTAATTGCAAACTCCTTTTCTTCTGTCCTTCTTTTCCATGCACACATTGTGCACATATGAACACATGTTGTGATGATCAACTGCTGGTGCATTAATACATGAATGAATCATACTTTTTGATTTAAACCTAAGGAGAGTTTGTTGAGGATAATTTAATACTTTGATTTCACAAACACATAGTTTGAGGGAATGATACCACAAAGTATCAGACTATTTGGAGCTTTCTCATGGATATTTATGTATGTAGAAATGCCCCACTCCTACCCCCACAAACAAAATAATCCTGAGCTTTGAATGCTATCACAAACCAATAGTGGTTTTCTTCTTTTAGATGTGTAGTTAAATGGAGGCCTTGTTGTCTTTCTGAGGTGGCTATAAGATAGCACATGGTGATATTCGAAGAACAGTCACTCCACCTAATATTTATCCTTCAACTAACATTACAAAAAAAACAAATTGCTTGTTGATTATTTTACTGTTGTGCCTTAACTCCTGTTTTGTTTCCTATTGTCTTCAACTACCATTAGCATTTCCTTTGTCTTTTGCTCTGGGCACTGTCACCATCTGTTCCATTCATTCCCCTCCCCACTCCTTTTGGCAACAGCATAAAAAAAAGTCACTTTCTAGTTCCTCTGATTCCGAAGAAGAGTCATATTGGACTCAAAATTTTAACTCTGTAGCATCCACAGATGCTACCAGACCTGCTAAATTTCTCCAGTACTTTTTGAATTTTATTCCATGGCTAAAATAATTGTTTATTGTACAAAATAAATAATGATTAGTGCCCCTTCAGGCATTTTGAGATTCAATTGCTTCCCATTATTCTCAGCGTCAGCTGGGGCAGTGTAGTTCCTCGTATTCTTTTGTTAAAGCAAAATACTATGAATTCTAGAATACTATGAATTAAAAACAGAAAATGCTGGAGAACGTTCTGCCTGACCTGCTGAGCTTCTTCACCATTGTCTGATTTTGTGTTGGTTTTGATGCAATGAGATGCATGTGAAATTCTGCTTTAACGTTGTTCTGGTAACTTGTGATTGAAATGATCCAGAAATTATAGTTAACTTGCATCATGTGATAGGCAGTGGCCAGGCTTTAGGTTAGCAAAGTCCAATTTGAAACATAAGAAAGTAATGCTTTTAAAAGCAATTCCACATTCTCTCTTCATGTCATAACACTTTTGAATAGAAGACAAATATTTTCTATTCCAGCTGACGTGTGATGTCCCGCTGCAGGTTTTACCCACATGTTTCCTTGTGGATGGCTACATTTTGCATGATTGCAAATGCATATCTTGCTTCTAGCAGCATCACATGTGCTACCTCAGGATCTTTTGCAAAGACATTAGAGCTCCTGTACACTCATTGGTCCGTGGTTACTTATGATTTTACAAACATACCTTGCCAAGAGTACATGGCAAGCAATATGCTTGCCTCTTAAGATTCCAAACTGGAAGTCACATTTGTTGAATTGTCTCTGTAAAGTACAAAGTATCTCAAAGTTAAAAAAAAAAATTCTTGACAGTTGTAGCAATCGTTATTAGCTAGCTTGTGAGATACTGGAGATCTGGATTCTCCCACCCACAGGGAAGGGGAAAACTGGGCCTGCAAGATACAAGTCAGATGCTTTTTTAGAGCAAGAAAGTTAAAGTGCTGTTTCTGATTTGTTTTATTATTGCCCTTTATTATTAAAGTATAATTAAATACATAGTGC